ATACTATAAATTTATAATGTAATGCTATAATTAATTAAATTTCTAATCATTTAATTAGGTATTGTGCTAATGTAGTAAATTACTAATATTTATAACATAATGTCACAATTAATTAAGTAATCATTTCATTATGTAATTTTATAATTAATTATGTAATCATATTATAATGTAATGATATAATAAATTAAGTAATCATACTATAAATCTTTAATATAATGTTATAATTAATTAAATTTCTAATCATTTAATTAAGTATTGCACTAATGTTTATAATGAAATGTTATAATTAATTAAGTAATTATTTAATTAAATAATCATTTGTTTATAACGTAATGTTATAATTAATTAAGTAATCATACTATAAATTTATAATGTAATGTTATAATTAATTAAATTTCTAATCATCTAATTAAGTATTGTCCTATTAGAGTAAATTATTAATGTTTATAATATAATGTCATAATTAGTTAAGTAATCATTTCATTATGTAATATTATAATTAATTAAATTTTTTATTGTTTAATTAAGTATTGTACTAATATTTATAATGAAATGTTATTATTAATTAAGTAATCATTTGTACATAATGTAATGTTATAATTAATAAGTAATTATACTATAAATCTATAATGTAATGTTATAATTAATTAAATTTTTAATTATTTAATTAAGTAATGTACTAAATTACTAATGTAATGTTATAAACTTATAATTAATTAATCATTTAACTATAATGTAATGCTATAATTGATTAAGTAATCATTTAACTAGTAATGTATTAATGTTTATCAATTTATTTTATATAATTAATTAATTACAGATATACTTAGTACTTGATAATTGAAGTAAATAACTAAATATTATATTATTATTCAATCAAATATACTATTATATTAAAAAATAATTCTTTTAGTAACATTAAAATACTTTATTGGTTTTATTCTAATTATCACTAATTAATCAAAACTTTAATATTCATATATTATAATATATTAAAGTTTTTTATATGGTATAGTTTATATGTAATAAATATAATTGTATATTTATTTAATTAGGTTATTGTAAAGAATTAACTTTTTCCATTTAATTTTTTTTATAGTAAAATTACAAGAGACTCCCCTTCTTCACAATATTTCATTTCAGCCCAGTTCAAAACAGGTACTCTCTGTAGGTTCCAAGCTAGGTACCCGCTGCAAGTTCTTTCTTTAAACCTCCAACACCACCCCCCCCCCCCCCCCCACCCTCCCCCTCCCCTAAACCTCCATTTTCTTCACAACTCAACTCTCAATCTCTCTACTCTAATTATCAAATTCTAGTCAATTCAATTTATATTTATATTTATTCATATTATTCAATTTTTTTTCCATTTTTCAAATTCATCTGTTATTCATATTATTATTCAATTTCTTTCATTTTAATTATTTATTATTTTATTATAAATTCATAATGGATTCCCGAAATTATGCATTCGGAGGATTATTCCCCAATGAGTTTTACGTTTCATCCACTGAAGAAATTGAAGGGTTCAATCCATTTTCACCATTTCCAGAGGCAACAACTCCAATTTCACAACCACAAACGATCAGGACTAGGTCCAACCAATTACAAGCTACAACTCCACGATCCGATCGTCAAAGAGGGATGCGTCCAGGGTATTGCAATTCTTCGCCAAATCAAACACCCAAAGCCAAATGGGCCGAGGGAAGAGATGCGCGGGGAATGTAATTTTTGTCCAACCGTTATTGGTGATGGGAATGGGACTTCGACGATGCGACGACACTTGGAGAAGAAGCACCCCCAATATATGCAATAGTCTTGCCAGTCCGGTTCAAGTTCAACTGCACCAAGTTGGCAAATTTAAACTCAACTTAATTTTAATCTACAATCTTCAACTCTCTCAACATGACAATACACTACAGTCAGAGCATGAGAGTGCATAGCAAAATTCATATATGCTACAGACTCTCCTATTTCTTTATCTGAAAATCTTTATTTTGTTGAAATGATTAAATATTTTTTTTGTCCAACATTTACCTATTTTAGTAGAGGTACAATTAGAAGGGACATAATAAAACTTTATGATAAAATAAAAGATCAACTTAAAAAAAAAAATTAAAATTTTTAGGAATATATCTATTGCACTTACTTTAGATATATAGATTGCTAGATTAAAAACAATATTTTTTAGTGTTACAATACATTACCTAGATCATTGTTGGCATTTACAACAAAAATCGATAGGTTTTAAAGCATTATATGAAAAACATAATGCTGACACTATTTATTTTACAATTATTGAAGTTTTGCAAAAATATTTATTATTTAAGAGAGTTGTGGCGCTAACGCTTGATAATGCAACTGTTAACACCTTAGCAAGTTCTTTATTTGAAAAGAGATTGGATCCGTTTGGTGAAGACAAATTTTTTCGCCAGAGATGTACTTGCCACATCATCAATTTGATTGTTAAATTAGGTTTGACGATTGAAAGGGTGCGCCCAACTATCGGATTCAACACCGGTAACAATTTAAGATGGATTGAATTTCATAAATATTGTCGCCAAGAGGATCTGTCGATTGAACCAAAGAAGTTATGTACGAACATGCATGTTCATTGGAACTCCACGCACCTAATGTTGCAAAAAGCTATACCAACCATAAGACAAATTACAGAGTTCATCAATCAAAAGAACTATACAGAGAAAGTCGTCAATGAATCTGATTGGACGGTTTGAGAACTTTTTTTTTTTTTCATTTCTTAAAGTTTGTTACGATTCCACAACTACATTAAGTGGTATTTATTATCCTACTACTAATGTAACATTAGATATAATGAAGATTTGTGTGACATTGTTTTTCCAATGGAAAAAATATATTAGAAATATTGGTTAGATATTTTATTCTTATATGGATTAGGTTTTATTGTAGATCCTAGATTTAAATTAAGCGTATTTAATTGTACGGTTGCTGAGATAAGCCATAATTTACAATATGACCATAGTTTTTATTTGACAGACTTTAACAGAAAATTAGAAAACTTTTTTTTCTTTGAATCAGACTAGGCACATTGGAGTGCCCAATGCCAGTAGAGACGAGTAGCAGGACCCTAATGAAGACCAAGGAACGAGCATCTGGAGGTTTGTGGATCGCGGCAATGGTGGTGGTGGAATTAGCAACTCGTACAGACAACTTGGACCAAGGAGTTGCATCGGTACCTACGATGGACATGTCCTACATGACCATGAAGGAGAAACGTGAGATGGACGTGCTTCAATGGTGGAATCACAATGCAAGTCGATTCCATATAGTAGCCTAAATGGCACGTGACATTTTATCTGTATCAGTTTCGACAATTGCATCTGAGTTAACATTCTCAATTAGTGACCGTATTGTTAAAGAGAGAAGATGCTCTTTAACCAATGAGAAGGTTGAAGTCATAACATGTTTACGAGAATGGACTCATGTAGACAGAAGAGATCAGCAGCACCCTGAAGATCCCGACCTAATCAACCTCTTCAGAAACACAGATTTAGAGGATGTAAATATTGTTGATGATATAAATTAATAATTTAATAAAATCAAATTTATTTAATTGTTTATTTGTAAAGTGTGAATATTATATTTATATTAAAATTAAATTATTATTATCTCCTTAGGGGGCGTTTGGTTAGGGGTTATATATGATTACTGAGATTATGTCATCTTCTATTACTTGATTACCACGTTTGGTTGTCAAGTAATATAAGATTTTAATAATTTTCAATACCAATAGTAGTTACTGTTGGTAATATTGGAGGTAATCTCATAACCTCCATTTTCTTAGGTATTGTAAGATTACTTGATAATCTTATTTTTGTTACAATTTTACCCTTTATTAATAAAATTTTTGGACAATAATACCCTTGTTTTAAAATCAATTTACATTAATCTACCATTACAATTTTACCCTTGTTTAATTAAGTTTTTGGACAATAATGCCCTTATGTTTAAAAAAAATTGTAGACCACCACTACCACCCAACCACCACCATCGGTCACCGTCGAGATCTGGTCAGAAACAGCCATATCGTCGACTCCCAATGATTTCCGGCAACTCCAAGCAGCAAAAGGCGACGACCGACAATGGTGGCTGGCGGCTGGTAGTGGCTTGGGGTAGGTGGCGGTAATTTTGTTATAAATTAAAGTTTTATATGAGGTGGGGTGTTTTAACTAAATCTAAAATGTTGGGGGTTAAAAAAATTATTCAAAAATTAAAATTAATAATAAAAATAATATTATATTAATATTTACAAATGAGGGCAATTTAGTAATTTAAATAACATACCCACCAATTTATTCCTCCTAACCAAATATATTAATATAACATACCCACCAATTTATTCTAACTAACCAAACACATTTCTCTAAAAATTCTTAGTAATTTTCAAGGTTATCTAACTTTTCATTAATATAACATTCCCAGTAATCCAATATTCCCTGAACCAAATGCACCCTTAAAGTTTAAATTAAAAACATCTGAAATTTATAGCCAATTAAGAATTAAGTCATTATTCATTAACATTTAATCATTAATTTATATTTAATCATTAATTTACTAATTAATTAAAGAATTTACAAATTACCCTAAAAAATTACATAAATCACCCTACATAATTTTGATTAAGTCCCATTTGGACCGGTCCCAACCGGACCAGACACGAGCCTGGTTGGGTTCAATCCTTGCCCACCTCTAACTAAATTATGGCATACACATCTTATGCATATGTTGTGCTAAAACAGATTCTGACCTAAAATTTCATAATGGTTTGTTGGACCACTCAAACTTTGAAAAAAAAAAAAAATTATATTTCATAGTATTGACAATTTTGATCCCACAAATTTTTTTATTAATTAACAATTTTTTATTTTTTCTTTCTTCTTTATTTCCTCTTATTTTCTCTTCGTACTTTATTCTTCTTTTGATTGAATTACTAAAGAAATACTATTCCTTTGAAGGTTAGAGCCATGTTTTAAAACCCGGGTCAAATTAAAAACCCACCCTTTTATATTCCTAAACCCAATTTCCATCAGTTTTCACCCATTTGCAATTCCTTCGACATCGAGCCCTAAAATCTTCCACCAGTGACTCCCATTTGCGATTTCCTCTCTTCACTGTCGATCATCTCCTTTTCGTCGTCAACTTATCTTCGTCATTAGGTACCGTCGATCTCTTCCTTTCAATGCTTTCATCTCTCTTTAACTGCTTCATTTCATCTCTCATTTCCAATTTTCATCAGAGGTGGAGGCTTGCTTTCATCTTCGGCAGCAGCTCATCTTCGTCGTCAGGTACTATCGATCTCTTCCTTTCTTTTGAGAAATTGCATGCCATTAATTGATGTGGTTTAAGCTATTTGAAGAAACTAGAATCTCTTGGATCTGTGCCTTTGCGACTTTCTTTATTGATTGAGAAACTATTTTGCTTTTAATTGGACGTTAAGGGTTTGTTTTTATGGAATTGAGGTATGTTGGCTACTTTTTGGGTTACTTGGTTCGAGAGGCTGGTTTAGCTTCATTTTGAGTTTTTTATACTTTTTTTTTATCTGTTGATTATTGTATTTTGGTGTTTCTTTAAGCGGGTTGCTGGTTCACTTTTCTTGTATTACCTCTTTTCTAGCATGAGAGTGTCCGCTGTTTTTGGGGAGCTGCGGGGATGGAGGTGTGGTGGTGGTTTGGATGTCTGTTGTCACTGTTTGGCTTGGGAGTTTTGGTTGCGGGGTTGTTTTTTATTGGGGTGGCTTGTTCATCCTATGGTGTAGGAAGTAGGGTGTTGTCTGCTATGTTTGTTGTTGTCTCGTTGGTGAGTTTTTCTGCTAATTTTTGGGTCCTTGAGGTTGTCTTGTATGAGAGTTTTGAGGTTAGGTGGGGGTCCTGGGGGATGCTTTTTCTTTTTTCTGCATTTTGTTTATTGTGGGGCAGTGGTGCTTTCTTGTGGGGTTGGCTGGGGCTGTTCTCTCCTCTTAGTGGATTTTTTTTTTTTCCTGGTCTGAAGGGTTTTCCCTGGGTGCTTCTCTTTTTTTTTAGGCTGATTTTGTTTTCTCTTTTGTCAAATGGTGTGTGAAGTTCAATTGAGGATGGATTGAAGACCATTGAGTGAAGAAGATCATTTTTTGCCAAAATGTTTATAAATTATTATGTGATTTTTTTTTTTCATGAATTTTGTTATTTTGATTTGTAATTAGTTGTAACGAGGATTTGTGTTGATGTTTGAATGTTTGATATGCTTTGTTAAGGATTTTTTTTTTTCAGGAATCTGTGATCTGGAAGTTTGGATTTTGAAATTTTTTTGGCTGACATCATCATGCTGATGTCACCAAGATGACATCACCAGTTGAATCGGTCAACCCAAGACTCGACCAGTTTGCCATGTTTCGCCCCGAGTTGGTTTTTAAGACATTGGTTACAAGGTAAGATGATGCCCATTTTTATTTTTATTTTTTGCTTAAATTTTTTTTTTTTTAGCCTTCTTAATTGATGAAAAATCATGAGCTATGAGTTTTTGTTGAGTTTAATAAATAGGTTTGAAATTGGAAGATTAAATTCCTAAATTTTGATTTAATATTGTTTATGTTGAGGTATGGGTTAATTAGTCATTATTTTAAGTTGTGTTTTAAAACCCGACTCGGCCCGAACGGTTTAACCAGGACCTAGGGCCTTCGCTAGGCCAGGTCACCAATTCAACTATTCACAAAAACCCTAAAAATCAAAGGCGGCGATTGGCGAGTAGATGTTGGGGGTTTTGGAGAGGAAGTGTCGGCGAGTTGAAAGGTGGCTACGGAGGTGATTTTGGGCGAGTGAAACGACTGGAAAATGCAAAAGTCATGCAACACAACTACGTGTTGTCGACGATTAGCGGAGCTAGGGGGGTGAGATGGGTTTTGGTCAGGAGGTTGAGGGGAGTGTTTTTGTGGTGATGAGGAGTGTTGTTGACACTCGAAAAAGACCCTATCTGCCCTTGGTTGTTGATGCCGATTGTGATTTTTTTTGCTGCAAAATGGTTCAATTTCGGTCAGATCTTGGGCATATTTGTTGGGGAATGGCTCAAAGGATGAGTAAGATTTGCATTCGGTGTGTCGCCACCACCAACTAGTTGACTACCGATTTGCATTTGGAGTGTGTTTGCTAGATTTTAAACCTATAAGATTGCTATGTGATTTTTTTAAGGGTGTGTTTGCTGGATTTCAAAACTTCTAGACATGTTATGTCACGGATTTGACTCGCCAGTCAAACCGGTTCAACTGATCAACCTGGGACCCAACTACTTTGTCTGGTTTCACCTCGAGTTCGGTATTAAAACGCTAGTTAAATCAAAGCAAATATATATAACTTTGAAAAAGAGGCTTTGAGAAAAAATAATAACAATAATGTATACCATGATAGAGACTTCACGTAGGGTTAAAGTCATAGCACAAACAAGCCGCCTCGTGAATTTACTAAGAAAGTGACCAATCCTGCCATTGTAGCGTAGAGAAAATAAGTCTATATGCACATCATTCAAATGGGGGAAAATTTTCGCTAAAATATAGTCATCTGCTATTAAATCTTGTAACGTACGCAAGGGAGAACTTATAATGTCAACTCCACAATATTCTAAGAGCAGATATTCAAAATTTGGCCATTTGGGCATGTGCATATTAGATGGAAAAAGTTATAAGGCAAAATTATTCTGGATGGATTCATCCTCTTCAACTTTGGGAAACAAAAGAATTTTTGGATTTCCATTTATTTTAGTATTTTGTTTTATGTTATTTTCGTTTTATTTTAGGTTTTCTATCCGCATAAAATAGTCAATTTCTTATGTTATAAGGATTATGATTTCAAGCCTGCCTGTATATAGGCATTAGATTTCTTATTTTATTAGGAATAAATACTTCATGGATGCTGCACAAAAATATTGTTGCGAAGAATCATCACAGTTTTCGTGGCTATCAACCAATTGTTATTTTCAAGTTTCTGAGTAGATTCATTTGTTCTCTTATATTCTTTGTTTTCATTACTTAGACCGTCATCATTCAGTGGACATGTCAATTTTGTATTGACTTTGTTTTTTACTTTCAAGTATTTGGCCAGAATGAATATAAATTGTTTTTTATTTATTTATTTATTTATTTGAATGATAAAATTCATCTCTTACAGAACAGAAGCGGTTTCATAAATATTAGTGACCTATTAGTGCAGTAGTAATTTGTTATTGTGCAACTTTAAAATTCTTGAACATAATTGGCAATAAAGCATTCAAATTATCACATCCATTAATCCCAGAAAATTAACATAAAGGTTTATCAAAAGAAGCATTGTTCCAGATCAAAATAAAATCTTGGAACCATATAAACAATTTTAACAATTCCAAGAATTCCAATCTCCATTATCTTCCTTTCTTTTCTTGAGAATGAAAATCCTCTTTATCAGAGGTCTCCAATGGTCGTTTTCCCTTTCACTGAGGATGGAAAATCTGTGTCCATTCTTTCCGGTCTTCATCTTGTTTTAGACTGTTATTGAGAGAATGGTTCCTCCATTTGGACAATATTTTCATTGAAGGAAGAGAGGTTCAATTTGGTTAGATTTTCTTGCATCATGCATGCTTTGAGGAATCTCGAGATTCAGTTATTCAGAGTTAGTTAAATTGACCTATCATTGCATAGAAATCTACAAGTCTATCGCTAACCCAATAATTGAAGATACCACATGACTGTAACAACAGAAAAATAAATGAAGTTATGGTCAATTTAATACATGGAAAAGAGGGTTGCATTAACACTGAAATTGTGTTTTATAAAGAAAGCTAATTAAATACAATGTGGTATTTAAAGTTTCTTATTGCTTAATTAATAATATTAATCTGAACTGCTTGTAACTTATTAATTCCAACTAGAGCATAATGGGTGATCAGACTTATCCTTAATCTCTTCGCACGAAGTATTTTGATAAATTAACAACGCATCACTCTCAATCGGAATATTCATAAAGAAGTGGGTAGGAGAGAAGGATGAAATTTGAAAAAGATTAGGAGAAGGATTTCTTTATGACAATAGATTTAAACTAGAGTACTATTTTGATCTTAGAAATTAACCTTTCATTCAACTTTGAACAACACCTTTGAAATATAGATTTAAGAGATTATTGCCTCCTTTTATGACCAACATAACTTTGTGACTTTAGGAATAACTTTTTATTATTTCTTCTCTGCAACAATGTTACTTCCTAGCTCATTATTTCTTTCTCTGTAGTAATAGGGTTAGTCCCTAAGTTACGAATTTGTTACATTATGCATGATTGATCCTCAATATTTTAGTGGGTCTTCCTTTAGCACTGGAGCTGTATTGTTACTGGTACTTGGGCTACACTAGAATTCCTTTGACATTGAACATAGAATAGATTAAAAAACACTGAAAACAATTAAAATAGAACTTAACAACTTGTCAGGACGGCTGAGTGGACTAAGCGCCAGACTCAAGTTCGGGTCTTTGAAAGAGGGCACAGTTTAAATCCACTTTTGACAATATAAAACAAATCATATCAGTATTTTATTTGCATGGACTAATTTTGTTTTATACAATGTACTTAATGTAAACAAATCATATAGGTCTAATTTTGTTCTTTTTGAGTTTGGATAACTTCATTATAATATACTATAATGCAAAACTTAAGATTGATGCAGGGCTTTCCCCATAATACTATCAAATGTAATATGTAAATCATCAAACTGTCTATCCCACATCGAACTGGACTCTGTAACATCAAAGATCTCACAGAGATTCGGGCCCCTCCTCCCATGTGTTCTTAACATATCGGCAACAAACCATTCAAATCATCACATCCATTAATCCCAGAAAAGAAACTTTTTTCAACTTTAGGATCCTCACTTCATCTTCCATTTCATCTCTGATTCACAAAATATCATCAGTACTCCAAACAATGTCCGCCAAATCACAACTTCACATTATGTGGATCCTCCAGAGCCAAATCATTATCCATCTTCCCACCTGCTCCCTGTAAGTCTTCTTCAATCTTTTGATTATTCCAATATTTGGGTCACGGGAAGGTCCATTTCAACCTTTTGTTGATGAAATCTTCTAATTCATGGTCGTAAGGGCTCCTCCCTTTACTGAAGATTATAATCGACAATGCCATCCAAGATAACGATATCTGTATTCTCATTGCTCGAAGGCTTGTTTGCATTCATCTCCATGAAATCTATTGAACGGAAAGCTTAGAGAAACAGTGATAATATTTATTGAAGGTTTTGATGATATGAAAGTATTTATATTTAATTTGATCTGTTAGAGAATCAAACTCCAATGAATAGGCTCATTATAGCTAGGCATTTGAACCTCCATTACCCGATCAAAGGTCCAAATTCACAGACCTCATATGTAGGCCAAAACTTCTCTTTTCTAATAGTGTACTGCCATTAATTGCTAACAAGGTTGGCTAATAAAAATCTTTATAAAGGAAATCTCGTTTGGAGGTTTTTAATCAAGACTAATTTTATTCTTTCTTACTTTAGATAAAGTCATTATAAATTTTTGTTTTTGGTTAAATTTTTTATTATTTGTTTTTTTTTTTTTTATTATTTGATTACTTTCTCAGTGGAGATCCAATCATTATAAGTTTAGGCCAAAACATTAATTTTAAAATTGATTCATATATAAAAAATCTAATGTTATAAGTAACCAATTTCTTTTAGAAAAAAAAAAAAAACCCTGATGAGTGGTTCTTCTCTCTGCGAACCTTATTATTATTTTTAAACAGCATTTTAACTCTTGGCCTAATCTGATAACAATAGTTCAGCAAAATAAATGGTTTTTTTCAGTGTACTCATCCTATAAGACTTGAAGTCCAAATTCAAAAGAATAAAGTGAATGTTCGTACCAAGACATTTTTTTATTTTCGATATTACTACTTGATTCAATCCACAAATTAAACGAAGTCTCAACTAATTAGTCTATCTTTTCATTACTGTGGATATAGATATCTTTATATCCTATTCCTTAGTTAAAGAGTCATCTATTACAAATTCATAATCATCCCAAGGGTTATTATATATATATTAATTATATAATTAAAACCAATTTATATATAGAAAAATTTGGGTTTTTTTCAGTTGTAAATTGACTATATACTATATGAATTTGATCAAGTCCAGTCGCCTCAAAACAGATTCCTTAAGACGCTTTCGAAGTTTTGTGTTATATACTTTAAGGAAAATCTACATTCAAGAAGCAGTGAAAAGGTACTCTCTGGTTTGCTTTTATTAAGATTATATTTTCACTTAAGGTACGTAGCCAGTCTTTTGTATCTCGTTCAAATAACTTTCATTGTTTAATTTGCAATTCTGATTGAATTTAGTAAAAAGATGGGAGTCCAAAAGTTTGTGCATGAAGAAGCCGAATGAGAATTGCGACAGATTAAGCTCTCTGTATGATTCAATTCTACACTATATCTTGTCATTTCTGCCCACCAAATATGTATCGCGGACGAGAATTCTCTCAAAGAGGTGGAACAAATTATATATATATATGTCTCATCCCTATTTAGACTTTGAAGAATTAAGAGAGAATCATAAGGAAGGTATTATGGATTTTGTTGAGAAGTTTATGCTTGATCATAACAAGTCACTCAAGATAACCAAATTTCGACTTTCATGTAAACATGCATGTGATAATTCTCATATCATTTCATGGATTACAGCAGCCCTAAAGGCTGGAGTTGAAGAGCTCGATATCTACCTTCGACATCGCAAAAGTAAATTTAATATTGATAGGGATGACGTATCCTTGTGCTTATTCGATAATTGCAATTCCTTGGTGGCATTGAAATTCGATTGTTTTCTATTAATTCGCTTACTTCCCAAAGATGAAGATGATGCATCTAAGAAACATGATTTTGCCACAGAACTTTAGCCATTCGATGTCCAACAGCCCAAATCTTGAAAATTTGATCTTACGAAATTGTGGTCTTCACAAACAAATTCTCCTCCGTACTCTCGAGATCTAATCACAAATGACAATACTTCATGATTTTTTCCCAATTTGAATGTTGTGCATTTAGAAGTGGTTTCTTATGACAGCATCAGTGAGACGGTCAATTTTCTTATTAAACTCATCCGAAAGCGTTTTAATGATAAGGCTCAAACACTGGGATCGCTTTATTTGGGTATTTTTTTTTTAAAATTATACATGGTGGAGAAATGTCCATTTTTCTATAAAGTCCTGTAAAGTTTTAACCTTTCTGGGTGAATTCTGATTAATGCTGTTACTTGTATGCAGCTTTTGGGATATGAAAGCTATTTATTGGATTATCTACCAACTTTTTGCAGTCTGAAGCATCTGGAGATCAAGATTAATGAAATAAAGAATAAAATTAAGTCCTAGCTTGTCTACTTCGATGCTCTCCCATACTCAATCTCTTCACATCAAAATTTATAGTAGATATGGGATAGAACTAAAGCCAGAAGAATTCCATCCTCTTAGTGTGCCTACAAGTTTAAAATGGACCAGAATGTATTATTTTTGGGACACAAAAATCAACCTGAGCTTGTAAATCTCTTATTAGCAAGTGACAAATTCTTGGAGAATTCTTATTCAATCTCTTGATTATTTCCAAATATTGGCTCCTCCCTTTACTGAAGAAGATTATATCAACATTTTGAAATATAGATTAAGGAATTATTGCCTCGTTTTATGACCAATATAACTTTGTTTTAGTTTCTTTGTGGTTCAATTGGAGGTTTTTAATCAAGGACTAATTTATTCTTTCTTACTTTAGATAAAGTCATTATAAATTTGTGTTTGGTTAAATTTTTTATTATTGTTTTTTTTTTTTTTATATTGATTACTTTCTCAGTGGAGATCCAATCATTATAAGTTTAGGCCAAAACATTAATTTATAAAATTGTTCAATATAAAAATCTAATGTTATAATAGTAACCAATTTCTTTTAGAAAAAAAAAAAAAAACCCTGATGAGTGGTTTCTCTTGCGAACCTTATTATTATTTTTAAACAGCATTTTAACTCTTGGCTAAAATCTGATAACAATAAGTTTCAGCAAAATAAAATTGTTTTTTCAGTGTACTATCACCATATAAGACTTGAAGTCCAAATTCAAAAAAGAAATAAATGTGAATGTTCGTACCAAGACATTTTTTTATATTTTCGATTTACTACTTGATTCAATCACAAATTTAAACGAAGGAATCAACTAATTAGTCTATCTTTTCATTAGTGGATATAGATATCTTTATATCCTATTCCTTAGTTAAAGAGTATCTATTACAAATTCATAATCATCCCAAGGGTTTATTATATAATATATAATTATATATAATTAAAACCAATTTATAATAGAAAAATGGGGTTTTTCAGTGTAAATGACTATATACTATATGTAATTTGATCAAGTCCAGTCGCTCAAAATATAAAACAAATCATATCAGTATTTTATTTGCATGAGACTAATTTTGTTTTATACAATGTACTTAATGTAAAACAAATCATATAGGTCTAATTTTGTTCTTTTTTGAGTTTGGATAACTTCATTATAATTATACTATAATGCAAAACTTAAGATTGATGCAGGGCCTTCCCTCATAATACTATCAAATGTAATATGTAAATCATCAAACTGTCTATCCCACATCGGAACTGGACTCTGTAACATCAAAGATCTCATCAGAGAATCAGGCCCCTCCTCCACTGTGTTCTTGAACATAATCGGCAACAAACCATTCAAATCATCACATCCATTAATCCCAGAAAAAGAAAGCTCTTGTTCAACTTTAGGATCCTCACTTTCTTCTTCCATTTCATCTTCTGATTCACAAAAATCATCAGCACTCCAAACAATGTCCGCCAAATCAAACAACTTCACATTATGTGGATCCTGTAGAGCCAAATCATTACCCATCTTTCCCACCTGCTCCCTGTAAGTCTTCTTCAATCTTTTGATTATTTCCAAATATTGGGTCACGGGAAGGTCCATTTCAAGCCTGTTGTTGATGAAATCTTCTAATTCATGGTCGTAAGGGCTCCTCCCTTTACTGAAGATGTAATCGACAATGCCATCCAAGATAACGATATCTGTATTCTCATTGCTCGAAGGCTTGTTTGCATTCATCTCCATGAAATCTATTGAACGGAAAGCTTAAAGAAACAGTGGTAATATTTATTGAAGGTTTTGAATGATGAATGAAAGTACTTATATTTAATTTGATCTGGTTAGAGAATCAAACTCCAATGAATAAGGCTCATTATAGCTAGGCATTTGAACCTCCATTACCCGATCAAAGGTCCAAAATTCAACAGACCTCGTATGTAGGCCAAAACTTCTCTTTTCTAATTTGTGTACTGCCATTAATTGCTACACAAGGATTGGCTAATGAAAATCTTGGTGAAGGAAATCTCGTTAGAAGGTTATGTTGAATTAATAAATTAATAATTTTCAATTAATAGTTTCAATTATTTATGGAGTTGCCAATATATTCCAGCATAACAGTAATATAAACTTCTGAACCATGCGACACTTGTTAAATTGTTGTCAATAATCACATTTACATTCTCAGTGGACATTCATGTGGCTAAACCATTCATTTACAAAATTGATTAAACAATCTAGTGCAATAATAGTAACCAAATTTTTTTATATTTTCGAATTAATACCGGGTTCAATCGATAAATTTGGAACGAATTAAACCAATTAGTCTATCTTTTTATGAATATGGATAATAGATATCTTTTTACCATATTTATCTTGAACTTTGAATTTCAATTCCAGAAGAATTCTATTTTTTCTTTTCCTATTTTTGATCGGCCGGTATACAATAATCCCTTCAACCATAAATCTACTACAAATTCATAAATCATCCCAAGGATTTAATTATAATATATATAATTAAAACAAATTTATATACTAGTAAAATTTTAGGGTTTTTAGTTTATTATACAAAGTACTGTAATAGTATATGTAAATTTCATCAAATCTAGTTGCCTCAAAACACAACCCTAAAACGCTTTTTAAGAGCATCTCCAATGGTGTTCTTTATTTTAAAAAACATCTTTCATATAAATAAATAGCATCTTCATTGATTTTTAAATATAAAGAACATAATATTTATTTAAATCCAATAGACTCTTTAAATTTTAGGAAAGAGAATATGTTTTTTCAAGAAATAACTTAATAGGAAAGATAAATCGTAAATAAAATGTATTGAAACTTGTAATTTATTATTTAAAATTAGGCTAGAAAATGAAATTTGACTTTCTAGATGTGGAGAGTTAAACTCACTATTTAATTTATATTTAAAGAATAAAAAGTCTGTTGGACTCTTATTTTTATGGATAAACTCTTTATAATAAAGAGTTTGAGTCATATAAAGAGTCATTTAGAGCATCTTCAAATGACTATTTATATGATTCAAACTTTTTATTATAAAGAGTTTATCCATAAAAATAAGAGTCTAATAAACTTTTTATTCTTTAAATATAAATTAAATAGTGAGTTTGACTCTCCATATTTAGAGAGTTAAATTTCACTCTCTATCCTAATTTTAAATAATAAATTGTAAGTTTCAATACATTTTATTTATGATTTATCTCTTATATTAAGTTTCTTTCTTGAAAAAACATATTCTCTTTCATAAAATTTAAAGATTATATTGGATTTGAATGAAAAATTTGTTCTTTATATTTAAAAATCAATAAAAATGCTCTTTATTTATATAAAAAATACTCTTTAAAATAAAGAGTACCATTGGAGATGCTCTGTCAAACCCACTCTTTAATTTATATTTAAAAAATAAATGGTATATTAGACTCTTATTTTTATGAATAAACTATTTATAATAAAGAGTTTGTGTCATATAAAGAGTTATTTGAGAATGCTATAAGTTTTGTGGTTTTTATTCTTCGAGGAAAAATCTATTTTCAAGAAGCAGTTGCATTCTGCTGCTTTCCTCTGCAACATAACGTACGTGCAGTCAAAGGATTAGTGAAAAAAGTGCTCTTTGGTTTGCTTCTATGAAGATTATTTTTCACTTAAGCTAATTATCACTGTTTGATTTACAACTCTGATTGATTATTTACCATGAAAAATTACAAAAATAATTAGGGAAACTATGTAACTAATAAAGATTGAAATATGTAATTAAATGAGTTTAAATTAGTCATTTATTAATTAAAACAAAAAGTATGAATAAATAAAACATTATTCACTCATTTGTTAAATACAATGGATTATAAAATAACGAGATTGACTAAGAATAAGAAAATATCATTTTAAAAATAGAGTTATTTTTGTGATTAACGTATTTATTTTTCTTCTTTTAGTTTCTGTTGACAAACCTGTAAGCTTATGATACATCTGTAACGAGGGATGACATTATTGTGAGCTAAAATTTTAAACATCCCCAAAACTTTTAATGAAATTGAATTACAAAACTTTCACATCAAAACTGTATTGAACCCCTTGTTCGAACTTTATTGAATAAGGCAGTGACATTATTTAATATAATTGAATTACAAAACTTTCACATCAAGAGGCAAACCATCCAAATAATGTCCGATTGGATTGATCCTAAACTCGTTTTTCTTTAAACTTGGACTCGATTACTTGGTTACAATGTTACTTCATAGCTCATTATTGCCCGATCTCAATTCATAAGTTATGAAATTTGTAGGCCTTCCTTTAGTATTACTCCTGGGATTGCTCCTGGGACTGTATTGTTACGGGTACTTGGGCCAGACTAACTAGGATACCTTTGACATTGAACGTAGAATGTAAGATTAAAAAATTATTGAAAAATATTAAACATAAAACTTGTTAACTTTTCAGGATGGTCGAGTGGTTTAAGCCTTAAGGCACCGGACTCAAGTTTCCTTTGAAAGAGGACGTTGGTTAGCATACCTAATTTTATTTGCATAGGACTAATGCAAAATGTAAAACAAAATCATAGAAGAAAATTAATGTACAGAAAATAAAACACAAAAACCGTTGAAATAATCATAATATTTTCTTCAGAATCAACCAAAACTTGTCACTTAAAAGACATAATTTACAAATATGCAAAGCTAGACCTTCAGATTGAACAAGATCTAACCCTGCGGCATCATCCTATAACTTCTAAAAAGGTACAATATTGACTTAGAACATAAGACTCACAGGTTTTCCCTGGGTATATTTTCTTTATCGGATGACAAAGCAGTGTTGAAATCCTCTTTATATGGTCGTAATGGCGGCAATATTGCTAGAGGAATTGCATCTTCCACCATCACAGATCTTAAGATTGATGCAGGGCCTTCTCTCATAATACTCTCAACTGTATTATGTAAACCATCAAACTGTCTGTCCCACGTCGGAACTGGACTCTGTAACATCAAAGATCTCATCAGAGATTCAGGCCCCTCCTCCACTGTGCTCTTGAACATAATCGGCAACAAACCATTCAAATCATCACATCCATTAATCCCAGAAAAAGAAAGCTCTTGTTCAACTTTAGGATCCTCACTTTCTTCTTCCATTTCATCTTCTGATTCACAAAAATCATCAGCACTCCAAACAATGTCCGCCAGATCAAACAACTTCACATTATGTGGATCCTGTAGAGCCAAATCATTACCCATCTTTCCCACCTGCTCCCTGTAAGTCTTCTTCAATCTCTTGATTATTTCCAAATATTGGCTCACGGGAAGGTCCATTTCAAGCCTGTTGTTGATGAAATCTTCTAATTCATGGTCGTAAGGGCTCCTCCCTTTACTGAAGATGTAATCTACAATGCCATCCAAGATAACGATATCTGTATTCTCGTTGCTCGAAGCCTTGTTTGCATTCATCTCCATGAAATCTATTGAACGGAAAGCTTAAAGAAACAGTGGTAATATTTATTGAAGGTTTTGAATGATGAATGAAAGTACTTATATTTAATTTGATCTGGTTAGAGAATCAAACTCCAATGAATAAGGCTCATTATAGCTAGGCATTTGAACCTCCATTACCCGATCAAAGGTCCAAAATTCAACAGACCTCGTATGTAGGCCAAAACTTCTCTTTTCTAATTTGTGTACTGCCATTAATTGCTACACAAGGATTGGCTAATGAAAATCTTGGTGAAGGAAATCTCGTTAGAAGGTTATGTTGAATTAATAAATTAATAATTTTCAATTAATAGTTTCAATTATTTATGGAGTTGCCAATATATTCCAGCATAACAGTAATATAAACTTCTGAACCATGCGACACTTGTTAAATTGTTGTCAATAATCACATTTACATTCTCAGTGGACATTCATGTGGCTAAACCATTCATTTACAAAATTGATTAAACAATCTAGTGCAATAATAGTAACCAAATTTTTTTATATTTTCGAATTAATACCGGGTTCAATCGATAAATTTGGAACGAATTAAACCAATTAGTCTATCTTTTTATGAATATGGATAATAGATATCTTTTTACCATATTTATCTTGAACTTTGAATTTCAATTCCAGAAGAATTCTATTTTTTCTTTTCCTATTTTTGATCGGCCGGTATACAATAATCCCTTCAACCATAAATCTACTACAAATTCATAAATCATCCCAAGGATTTAATTATAATATATATAATTAAAACAAATTTATATACTAGTAAAATTTTAGGGTTTTTAGTTTATTATACAAAGTACTGTAATAGTATATGTAAATTTCATCAAATCTAGTTGCCTCAAAACACAACCCTAAAACGCTTTTTAAGAGCATCTCCAATGGTGTTCTTTATTTTAAAAAACATCTTTCATATAAATAAATAGCATCTTCATTGATTTTTAAATATAAAGAACATAATATTTATTTAAATCCAATAGACTCTTTAAATTTTAGGAAAGAGAATATGTTTTTTCAAGAAATAACTTAATAGGAAAGATAAATCGTAAATAAAATGTATTGAAACTTGTAATTTATTATTTAAAATTAGGCTAGAAAATGAAATTTGACTTTCTAGATGTGGAGAGTTAAACTCACTATTTAATTTATATTTAAAGAATAAAAAGTCTGTTGGACTCTTATTTTTATGGATAAACTCTTTATAATAAAGAGTTTGAGTCATATAAAGAGTCATTTAGAGCATCTTCAAATGACTATTTATATGATTCAAACTTTTTATTATAAAGAGTTTATCCATAAAAATAAGAGTCTAATAAACTTTTTATTCTTTAAATATAAATTAAATAGTGAGTTTGACTCTCCATATTTAGAGAGTTAAATTTCACTCTCTATCCTAATTTTAAATAATAAATTGTAAGTTTCAATACATTTTATTTATGATTTATCTCTTATATTAAGTTTCTTTCTTGAAAAAACATATTCTCTTTCATAAAATTTAAAGATTATATTGGATTTGAATGAAAAATTTGTTCTTTATATTTAAAAATCAATAAAAATGCTCTTTATTTATATAAAAAATACTCTTTAAAATAAAGAGTACCATTGGAGATGCTCTGTCAAACCCACTCTTTAATTTATATTTAAAAAATAAATGGTATATTAGACTCTTATTTTTATGAATAAACTATTTATAATAAAGAGTTTGTGTCATATAAAGAGTTATTTGAGAATGCTATAAGTTTTGTGGTTTTTATTCTTCGAGGAAAAATCTATTTTCAAGAAGCAGTTGCATTCTGCTGCTTTCCTCTGCAACATAACGTACGTGCAGTCAAAGGATTAGTGAAAAAAGTGCTCTTTGGTTTGCTTCTATGAAGATTATTTTTCACTTAAGCTAATTATCACTGTTTGATTTACAACTCTGATTGATTATTTACCATGAAAAATTACAAAAATAATTAGGGAAACTATGTAACTAATAAAGATTGAAATATGTAATTAAATGAGTTTAAATTAGTCATTTATTAATTAAAACAAAAAGTATGAATAAATAAAACATTATTCACTCATTTGTTAAATACAATGGATTATAAAATAACGAGATTGACTAAGAATAAGAAAATATCATTTTAAAAATAGAGTTATTTTTGTGATTAACGTATTTATTTTTCTTCTTTTAGTTTCTGTTGACAAACCTGTAAGCTTATGATACATCTGTAACGAGGGATGACATTATTGTGAGCTAAAATTTTAAACATCCCCAAAACTTTTAATGAAATTGAATTACAAAACTTTCACATCAAAACTGTATTGAACCCCTTGTTCGAACTTTATTGAATAAGGCAGTGACATTATTTAATATAATTGAATTACAAAACTTTCACATCAAGAGGCAAACCATCCAAATAATGTCCGATTGGATTGATCCTAAACTCGTTTTTCTTTAAACTTGGACTCGATTTGGAAATGTTATAATTAATTAAGTAATATTTAATTAAGTAATCATTGTGTGTATAATGTAATGTATAATTAAAAAGTAATTATATTATAAATCTATAATGTAATGTTATAATTAATTAAATTTTTAATTATTAAGTAGTAATGTACTAAATCCTATGTAAGTATAAACTTATAATTAATAATCATTTAACTATAATGTAATGTATAATTGATTAAGTAATCATTTAACTAGAATATTAATGGTTATCAATTTATTTTATATATTAATAATATAATTTATTACAGATTTACTTAGAACTGATAATTGAAGTAAATAACAAATATTATATTATTATTCAATCAATCTATTATATTAAAAAATAATTTTTTAGTAACATTAAATACTTGTAATTGGTTTTATTTCAATTATACACTAATTAATCAAAACTTTAATATTCATATTATATATATTTAAGTTTTTATATGGTATAGTTTATGTAATAAGTATAATTGTATTTATTTAATTAGGTATTGTAAAAAATTAACTTTTTCCATTTTAATTTTTATATGGACAATACAATAGACTCCATTCTTCACAGGTATTTCATTTCAGTCCAGGTTTCAAAACAAGGTACTCGCTGTAGGTTCAAGCAAGTTCCAAGTTGGGTATCCGCTGTGAGGTTCTTTTTTCTAGGTTCGGTTCCTGTCCTCACATGTAGAAACCGGAATCGGAACGCACAATGTGGTTAAAAAAAAAGGGAAACTGGAACCTACCCTCATAGTTTCGGTTCCGAGTAGGTTCGGTTGCGGTTTCAATTTCGGTTTGGTTCGCATTCTATTCGCTGCCCGTGCTCACCCACTTATTCTGATGAAAAAGGTCCTAAAGAATACTTCAAGTAGAAAAGGAATACATGGCTGTGGATGGCTATGCAGACAATAGAGAAGCAATAGTGTGAGAAGGATGCAATAAATTTCATGGAAATGTAATGTCATGATTCTGTTTTCTTGTTTTGTGTTGGTACACAAGAAAGATGTGTTTAAATATTCCTGTTTCAGTCTGAAAAGAAAACTGATAAAAGAATGTGGATTAGTCTTTGTTTTGTCACTATGATTAAGAAATTTCTTGAAATATATAAACCTATTGTGTACCAACCTAATTTGTGTATCGAGAAAATGTTGGAAAGGCCAAGAAAATGTATGTGTTTATTACTTCTCATACAATTGTGCTTGTCAACATAGAATGGTCAAATGGGTCATTATCACTTTTTTGTTTAATAAATAAAACAACTAAATATAGAGGTGGGAATTTGGAGAGGACCCAAAAACCCACCCAAAAACTCGGGTTTAGGATCGATCCTATAGGTCGGTCCTAAAACTGGACTAGGATGTGGAGGAGGGCCCAGGCCTTGGTTCTGTCCCTCCTCCAAGGTTGGGCCAAGCCTTTTTTCCTTTTCAAATGACCCTTGGAAAAAAAGAAAAAAAAAAAATATATATATATATATATATAACAATAAAAATGCCCACCCCCCCCCCCCCCCCCCCCCCCCCCCCCCCCCCGGTTTAGGGTTTTAATAATAAAAACACTAATGTAGAGGTGGATTTGGGACGGGACCCAAAAAACCCACCAAAAACCCGGGTTTAGGATCGATCTACAAGGTTCGGTCTAAAACTGGACTAGGATTGTGGAGGAGGGCCCAGGCCTTGGTTCTATCCCCCTCCAGGCTTGGGGCCAAGCCCTTTTTTCCTTTTCAAAATGACCCTTGGAAATATATATATAAAAACAAAAAATGGGGTTCCCCCCACCCCCCCCAAAAAAAAACCTCCATTTTCTTCACAACTCAACTCTCAATCTCTCTACTCCAATTATCAAATTCTAGTCAATTCATTTATTACATTATTCGTATTATTATTTATATTATTCAATCTTTTTCCATTTTCAAATTCATCTGTTATCATATATTATTCAATTCTAATTTAATTATTTATTATTTTATTATAATTCATAATGGATTCCCGAAATTATACATCGGAGGATTCATCCCCAATGAGTTTTACGTTTCATCCACCGAAGAAATGAGGGTTCAATCCATTCACCTTTCCAGAGGCAACAAATCCAATTCCAACCATAAATGGTTAGGACTAGGTCCAACCATACAAGCTGCAACTCCACGGTCTGATCGTCAAAGAGGGATGGTCCAGGTATTGCAATTCTTCACCAAATCAAACACCCCAAAGCCAAATGGGTTGGGGAAGAGATGCGCGGGGAATGTAAGTTTTTGTCCAAACGTTACGGTGTGGGAACGGGACTTCGACGATGCGAGATACTGGAGAAGAAGCACCCCAATATATGCAATAGTCCACAGTCGGTTCAAGTTCAACTGCACAAGTTGGCAATTTAAACTCAACTTAATTGAATCACAATCCTCAACTCTCTCAACATGATAGAATACAATGAGTCAGAGCAGAGAGTGGCATGAACCAAATAAATTCTATGTGCTACGAACTCTCCTATTTCTTTATCTGAATCTTATTTTGTTGAA